AGGTGTCTCATTTTGACAACAGTGAGGTGGGCCATTTCGATCATTTGTGAGACCCCCAACTCCAACACCGTCGCCAGCCGTGATGCAACTCTCTGGATAAGTGAAGTAAGGAAGTTGTTCCAGAACGTCACCAGCAAAAGCAGTCACAGGCACATGTTAATTCAGAAGTAGTGTTTTACATGCTATAGTTAAACGTCTCCATTGCTAAGCGGTTCAAAGCTATCTGGATGGCTTACGGATCGCCCCAAAGCAAAGTAATCCAAGTATGGCCGGTGGTATTAGAAAATAAACTTGTTTGTGCCGCGATATGGTTTCTGCTAAAGATGAATCACAGTTGGTGTTCTGATGTCGTTCGCCCCAACGCTGACACCACATAACCTGTCTGACCACCTTGTTAATCGCTGTGCCTAGCTGTGTGAAACCGCAGAGTAGATAGACAATAACGAAGCATTAAGCATGAGAATATTGATGAAGGAGACTAGAACAAGGCGGTGCGTGCTACCTTTGTCGATGTGGAATGTCACGGACTCAATGGTGCTATTGATTTCAAATGTTCATATCGAGCTGTTAGCATTTTATGTCATTAATTCTACACACTTTTCGCAATTCCCTTTACTGTGTAAGCCAATCGAGTAGCACCTCACTCTCTTCGTCACATTGTTAACCGCTGTCACCATGCCGACGCAAGTCATGGCAACTGGATCCATCGCATTTCGATGCCCGGTGCACTGTTGTTCAGGTGAGCTAAATTGAAGAGATGTGGGATTATCATACATCCCCCCATAAAAGAAAGTCCATTGGAAAAGCAACCGGCTTTATTTGGAGTGATTTAAACTACATCTAACAAAACTAACACAACAGACTGGGCAAAATGGGGGTGAATCGCTAAGCGAGAACACTGGGTATAGTCTGGCTGCATTAAAAAGCAATTCAAACATTGAGAGCGGCCGAGTCAAAGTTGTGTACATAGCGTTACGAAAAGAGCGTAAAGGATCGAATCAACGAAAAAAGATTCGTATCCGATAGGGTCACATTCTAAACGTGTCTAACCCCAATAGGAACAAAACGAATTTTTACTTAGTGGAAAGTAGGTAATGGTATTAAGGAAAGAACGTTTTGGGAATGGTCTACATTTTAAGAGCACGGCAGAATGCTTGATTGTGAAATAGCAAATCCAATTCGGATGTGGACCCAAGGAAGAAAAGGCACATCTTACGCTGAGATCGTAAGCCACCGTGTGTAACAGAAGTGGATACCGAACAGAAATGCCAATCAGTAGCACAGGCCGTCTGTAGGAATAACAAACAAACGGAGGATGATGCAGCACTTCGTATGGCGGTTAATACACTAGACAATCGATCAGGGACACAGACTGTCCACGGGCGGAGAATTTCAGTTTGGGCGGGAGAAGAAACATGTCAGATACCAAGCCAATTAGCAAACCGGGAATCGGAATGAGCGCCTGTATCAAGACCATAGATCGGAAATTGCCTGCCAAAGGGCATACGACAACTGAAACACGAATAGCGAGAGACGATCCGCAGAGACAATCAACATCGCCGATGCGAACGGGTTGCGGTTGGATGAACGATCCAACGTAGAAGAACGCGAACTAATGAATGCAAACCCATAGCCTGCGCGGAAGTCAGTGGAGACGCGACGCAGAAATCGTAATATGTAGTATAAAATAAGGCATGGTTAAGCAGTAAAGATTTTCGTGTCGTTGCGCAGCCATCCTTCCGCTAAGTGGAGGGCCGCTCGGTTTACGCTCAGTAGAACAGAATACCGGTGGGTGGTCGATTCGTAGAAGGCGTCTGCCTTGAGAAGCACAGGTGACCAAACCGAGCCTCCGCAGCTACAAACAACCACGGAGCATCCTCAGTCGGCGCGCGCGGCGGCGAAGCGTTGGTACAATGCACCGGCGAACTGCTGGCACTAACCTCGCCTCTGTAGCATAGCATATACTAACCTTACGCATCAAACAACTAAGCATATCTGCATTCCCACGCAAGAGTTCATAACCATGAAGAGTCTTCAAGCAAATGTTTCATCCTACCTGTTCCGATCAAAGCATGTCGAACGGTCAGCGAGCTGAAGGAGTGCTGCGCGCCAATGAATGGTACGTTACAGAAACGTGTGAACCCGTGCATAATGCGATGTGTGAAAGGATGTCACGACGAACTAATTGACCGACATTTGCAACTTAGCAGGAAGCAGAAGTACATAAGGGGGCTTAATAATAATTACTGCAGAATACTGTAGTGTTATTTGAATGCAGCAATTGAGCCATGGTCGCAATAATTTACTATGAAGTATGAAAAAAGCACCCTGCAACGTCAAAGAGAACACATGTCAATAAATCACTTTGGCGCGATAGCCATGGTCGGCAAAAAGACCAGTAAACAATGACAACAGCAGCATTACATCAGCCATACGAAATGGTACTTCGCCGTCATACAATCATGATGACCTGCGAAAGAAGGAATAATAAAAGGGAGAGAAGGGGAACTTACCTGAAAACTTTAATGCCCTAAGCAAATATTCAGAGTCAAGACGCCCATACCTTCTGTTAACAACATCCCGTCACAAACAGCTGGCTGTCGTGCAAAAGTAAGGCGGCATCGGCGAGACAGCTTCCTTGCGGCTTTCACTGCCCCGCGTCATAATCAGCCATTACCCCGCAGATAAGTCAGCACCAAACACAGTTTAAACAGGCAATGCGATTAGACGGCAGCAGACGCGCCACTGGTGCCAGCTGTGAGCCATGTCTCGAGTCAAGCGCAGTGCGAGAAACGTGGACTACAGCCCGGAAGGTAAGACGAATCAACGGCACCCAGTTTGGTCGTCAGTGACTTCATTTCCGGCTATCACTAAACAATAACCTTGTATTGACGTTCCATTTAAAAACTGAAATGATAAAGCTGTATAACAGCCTGCTATGTTCGTGAGAGAAGGTAACTTAGAGAGCAGCAGAACCATATTGGTAGCCAAAAAAGTGAAGCGTTTAGAGTGTCTCGTACATTTGCGCTTATCGAGGTAGCCAAACGTGCTGCACACGGAGATTAGTTCACCGGTATTCAATTGATCAGCAAGAATTGCACCTGGTGAGTTGAAAACGGTGCCCAGTTCAGTTGGGGAATCAGCACCGCCGGAAGACCCCAACCAGTGGAAAAAGAATGAGAGCTAGGCGGAGTCAGTGCGAAAACCATGTTAAAGTGATAGATTTCAGTTTCAGATACTGAGCATCTCGAAACAATGCACAACCTGACACACTAGAAGATCAACTACGATCTGTCTACATAAAAATTGTGACATAATTTGCCTCGAGAACTCCGCAACAAGAGTTGTACACTGTGTGAGGGACAAGGGCAATCGTTCGCTAGAATTTCGCCCACGTCAAATACGCTATCCTGTGGAACAGCCCATTAGGCAAAATCAAGTCCTCTGTAAACTCGAGAATATTTCATAATAGACTTAAGTTCCGTAATGACTATCCTTTCAACTAATTCTACTCAGAGAAATACAAAGTAGTTACGCAAAACGATACTGGTGGAAATAATGTATCCTGTAATTTGATGGCAACACAAATATTACCGAATTTATAACTTGCCCACGTAGCAGTATGATGTTAATGGTAAATAATGGGCTGTCTATATTACAATAAGAGCCCCTCGAGCAACCGAGAAAACATGATAGTAATAGTAAGCGTACGTGCAAGATGTAAGCAGGATACCAGTGCGTTGTACTAATGTCTAACTGGAGCTGAGACACTAGAAGAGCGCCCAAATCCATACAAAAACAGGGATTCGAACTCGGAGACCTAGGGTCGAACCTTGTCTATTTAAGGGTGAAAAAGCCAAAAATACAACTAAAAAGATCGTGTAGCGTAATGGGGCACGAAGTATTGCTGGTAGAATGTGCCTGTTTTCATCAACCTTATCAAAGAGAAAGGTATCTCAAAAGGTTGGGGAACACGAGTCAATAACTAGGTATCGATGCACGAAGTGAGCCAGGTTTACAGGAACAAATGATACTCAAGTTCCAGCACACAAAAGAGAAGTCCAGAAGACTACGTTTACTTGGTCTCTAGCCCCTAAGGTGCTGTTGTTGAATGAGTGAGAACCATCCTTTCACCGAGAATGGTATTTTCGGACACGAAACAGAGATCAATCGGCTAGATACTGCGAGCAAAAGTTCACTCTGATTCCGAAGCCCGAAGAGACCTTCAGTACTGATTAAATACCCAGGAAAAAGCACGGCGAAATGTCAATACATGGGCTATATGCGCTTTGAGCGCCTGCCCAAGGCCACGTTACATATCGACTGCATGGAATGGGACAGAGTAGCGCTGACTAGCAATCAAGGAGCTCAATCATTGACAGGCAACGCAAACGGTTAGAACAATTATCAAGCAACTCGTCGAGAAGCGTTCATGTAAAAAACCTCCAGATCAACCAGTGGATCGGAAGATCGTCAATCGTTGTTGGAGTAGGCGGGGCGGAAGGTGATATCGTTAGAATAGTCCACCGTTGGATAAGTCACGATACAATTATCAGCAAGAGTGGATATCATAAGCGGTTGCCATCACAGTTGCATCAGTTGGGTGAGGGCCAAGAGACAGTAAACGTTCGGCTCCGAAACGGTCCAATCATCTGCTACCTTCGGAGTAATGCCGGGGGAAGAGACCAGCCGGAAGTTGATATGTCGTACCCACACTCCGCTGTGACACGACTATCGCCAATCAGTCGTCGATACACGATATGTAGTTAGATTCGTGAGTGACAAAGGGTAATCCACTTATACACCTTAACCAGGCGAAATGGTCTTAAGGCTATCCGCAGTTAAACTGAGAAGTAAATAGGGTATGATGTGCCAAATTGATCATACATTATTGGGCAAACATTCGAAGGAATGATAAAAGAACGCTCTTCAGCCCAAACTCATGAACCGGCAACGCGAAAACACTTCCAGCAGATAAATTAGAAACAGTGTAAACTTACGCTGCATCGCTAATGAGCTGCATGCAACTTTGGTCGGGTACCTCAGATACCGAGTGGAGCACCTCCGATTTGGTGATCGAGGGATCGCGAGGAGACAAAGACGACAAACATGAGCCTTGGAAGACCGTTTCTGACGTGGCAGCGACAGTGCAGGGGGTGGACGAGACACTGACAAGATTGGACAGTTCGGTTGAATCGAATGTGCCCGCGGCACCAGAAGAGATATTTTGAGTACGATCGGAGGAGGCGGTAAGGTTTTGAAGGGCGTCGGCTTCGACAATGATGCTCTGTGTCAAATTCATATGATTATCCAACGACGCGGATAGAGTGGGGGATGACACTGCTGTTGGGTGATCGGATTCCTTCAACCGGGACAGAAGACGCTTTGTATACACGGTACAATGGGTAGCATCCAGGTCAGATCCATTAGCTTCGTCGAAAGTGGCAGCGACGGGCTCGGCTTGTTGGTTTTGCGAAACGACATCGCCTATGAGGACATAAAGCAGAGGACGAATGTTCACAATGAATCACTCCGTTGGGATATATCAGAAAATAATATTAGCAGCATAAAAATAACAATTAGTACTAGCTAACATAGACGTTAATTATGGATGAGTGAACTTATTACTCCTGAATACAAGGAGAGCGGCCAGTGTGCATCGGCCACCACAGAGCCAATGTGTCAGTCAAACGCGAAAACGACTAAGTCAATAATAGGCAGTGAAACTTGAGGATTCACAACCGCCGCACTACATTATGATGATGAGTTCAAACATTCAGACATATTCGTTACCGTCGAATAACTGTTGTAGTGGACGGAACCAGTGTCTGCACAACAAAACGGTTCGCAGGTGAGTATTAGACAGTTGTAATCGGCTAAGTTATTAAGTACAACAACCAATTGAATATAAGTTGTGTCGTCTTGCGCAAGTTCTACGTATGCCCGTTCATCGCCTCTTGAAGGTTTCGCATCGTTTGTGATTGTTGAATGGCACAAGGGAAGGAAAAGATAACTCGCCAGTCGAGAATGAAGTCACTGATGACTAAGTGGGGCATTGTTCACCAGTCTTGCCTCAAAGACTGGAGTCCGCTCGACACACCCGTGGTGCTTGGCTACCGAATCTACCGGAGACTGCTAGCACCTGACCCCATTAGTCCACTTGCAGTCGTACCTTAGTTGGGTTTCATGCGTAGCTGGACCAACCAAACACAACGATGATCGAGATGCTGAGCAAACTGTGAAACCTAGGTTCGTTTGAGAACGCACAATTTCCGCGTTCCGCTATGCCCACAAAATCACAAATACCGTTTCGATAGATTCTGAAGAGAGATCTCCCCAATATTACTGAGGGATTTGGTAAGTAAACCGTGTTAAAAGATCTAACAGAACAAAAACATTAAACAGTTTCCTGGACTGCGAACCGATCCCCATTTTCGGAAATGCGAAGAGAGCTTCCGAAGATAAGTTTTAACAACCGGAACCATTAGGTGCAAACCGAATTCGAACTCTTTTTGGTTCTGTAACGCGGAAAAAAGCGATAAGTGGTATGATTAGATGAGCCGATTGACGGACTTGTCGGGAGTGCTCACTTGTGATGACCTACATGAGGCCAAAGACAGGGAGAAAATGATATATATATATATATATATATATATATATATATATATATATATATATACCTAGAAAATGGATACACTTTCGGTAACACGCAGGATTCAAATAGATCCCAAGCGAATGACATAGGTCGGGCGAACAACTGCTTTTGTAGTTTGGAGATCGTATGTATTACAACGATTACAAGTAATCGATTAGACATCATTAAGTGAGATCATGTAGTTATAAGAATATGGCAGGAGTCATCTGTTGCTTACTGAAATGAATGCTCGCGTGTAAGCAAAGGAGTGAGCTACCAGTGTTGAGACAGGTCAGTCGCGAGAACACACGGAGCCCCGGCTCTCCCAAGCTGTGGGTTAAAGCAGGGGTGGGTGGACATTGCTGTGATCCCAAGAGAAGTTCACAAGAGTACCGCTACCCGTCGGTGAGAATTTAGGGGTAACAAGACCGCTGCGTTCTATGCCCATGCGTCCCCAATAACTCAGCCATTACATTGAACACTGGCTTTGATGATGTGTGCGTGAGAATGTGGATGATACAGCACCAGCAAACAACAGCCCCCCCGCCCTTATGGATGCACGCGTTTTTCGGCTGTCCGCAGCCACAATGGACAAATACGCAAAGGGACTGCGGATGTGTGGGTATAATAACACCAAGCTCAAGCGAATCAGCAAAAAGAAGCATAATGTTAAGCAACACGGGGGGGGGTGAAAAGCGACAAACGCATACACTGATGCTGTAGGTAAAGAAATTCCAGAAGCCGCACACCAAGGGACACAAGTGGGAGAGAAGCAAGAAACATACTCTGGAAAACCACCCCTTTCGGTGCCCCAAACAAAGGCTGTCGTTTCCTTCTAGCGGCATGATGCTCGCGGCTTTGACGAACGCATCCCTGCACCAGATTCAGTAAATGTGCTTGAATAGAACCCGTAAAGTGGCTATCTAATCCGACTCCTGAGTGAAAAGTAAGAAAGAAAGCACTGCGTCAGTGTACACGAGTAGCACTAGAGGTTACAAAACGCCTAGCTATTGCGGATTGATAGCGGGCGGACGAAAATAGCTTTTGTGAGTAAGCATAACTAGTGAGGCGAAAAGTAATGGAGACCGGCAGCAGTTAGCTTCAGACAGAAGCAGCGGACGGTTACGAAAGCACTGCACTAAGCATTGTCAAGTAACCAGTGGTTTCATGAACCTCAGTTTATAGTCAAGCATCTGTCAGTGCCGGCGTAAGCTATGAAAACTAGTTCCCGCGCACCTTGCGCCTAGGATCAGTTGTTCAACAGATCACACCCGGTCCATATGTGCCCTTTCAGAGGCTAACGTGATCAACGCTGCCTGGTAATAAAAACAGAACCCGCTGTGTTTCCGAATTGCGACACGCAATCTCAATCAAAGTCATGGTTTGCTTTGAAGCAAAAGTCTGCCATCGCGATCACTGGGACCGGGTCCCACTTTTCCTAAGCTGCTTTGCGACTCGGGGGTTGCGGTTTCGAGCCTGCGTAGAGATCGTGCGAGGCTTGCACTATCCATAGCCCACGTGCGACTGATGGTGGTTGCGCGGCAGCGACATGTTGGTACTAGGTACTGCTGATGCTTTTTTCAAAGTGGTTCTAGCTGAAGAACCCAACTCGGGACGAAATCGGTCGTGGTGTGGAGACAGCGACTCCGAAACTCTCAAGAGAAGAAATGCATTTTAATGAAAAGTATCAGGGACTAAGAGACCGTGGATCAAACACACGCCCTCCGAGCATTATTCAAGTGAACCTGCCTCCTGGGTTAAGGCCACTGAGGCGGCCATAAAACGCACACAAATATAGTGCAGAACAGTGGTTCCAATTACCGGTTGGACTATCTGATGATGACCTTTCCGTACCGCTTCCGATTAAACCACACGTTTTGTTAGTTTCGTAGACTGTCCCAACTGGGAAACCGATATAGTCATTGTTCCATCCGTACTTGGTCTGAAGAGGTCGCCACTCGCCTCTTCTCTTCCATCATAAAACCAATATGAACGTGCGGCTCAGCTGCCTACTACCCAATCATCCGAGGCGAGCCCTGAAGATTGAACAGGTCTAACACAACGTCACCAGGCTCATTTCAGGTATACTAGGCTTACCGTACGAAGACCGGTGCAATTAAACCCTGTCCTATCATCGGGTGCGAGTCGATCTCATCGTGGCTTACCGCATATCACTTCTTGTTGACCGCCATATCGAGGCCGCCGCTTCATTTGCGAACGTCATGTAGCACACCCGGACACTGGTATAAGCTCGCGGTGCCGGATGTCAAGCGAGTTCCCCACTCTATGTGCTTCGGAAGGAGAGTGGTGAATATTCGAAACAGTCCGCTAAAACAAGTCACGAAGGTCAAATCCGTGCAGCAGTTCAGAAAGTGGTTGGACTTACATTTCACCACTCTTCGATTAAGAGAACCACTGCAAACTAACAATGACATCTTACACGTGTGAGCCCAATGAAACTGTTAGTCAGATGTTTTTTAGTGCTACATAGGAAATTGTAGAACGATTAGAGAGAGTATCCACAGGTGGAAGACAATTTTTTTACATCCTTTTTGAGTATACTGCGATGGAGTCGTAGATATATAAATTTCTACTTGCCACTACAACACAGTTGTCAATAAATTATGTGTTTCGCGGTTTCCAAGGGTAGCGCTGTTATGAGGACAACACCAAGCACCTGATAATACTATGACCATCGGTAACGCGGGAGCCAGAAGACAGTTGAGTAGTTCACCTATGCTGGTCACTGTATTAGCAGCGGTGTGTGTGTGTGTGTGTGTGTGTGTAATTGATTACGTCAATTCATGTACAAGGAAAGCCAGAAATGCATCCTTAAAGCGGGGACATTTATGGCTTTCAAAGAGCATTTCCCTCAGTCTGAAGAGACGCGTATCCGAGGTCACAGTGATAAAAGTTTCCATTACAATAATTAGACTTGGTCACGTTGGCCTGATGAGTGGAAGCATTGAGAACTTCAGTGCTGCTTGTGAAGTGTTGTTGGTGTCGGGTGACGCCAATGTATGCGCAACGATGATTGGCGTAGACGATTATTAGACGAAGACAATTAGGTTAGTTCGTCGGAACAAGAAAGAACGTTGAACGGGTCGCATCGGTCTGAGTACGTGTTGCAAATACCAACATACGATCTACTTAGAAGGGTCTTGTTCTTCTTACCGGGAGTAGTATAGTAAAAGGTTGGGAAAGTGAAGCCAGTCACGAGTAAAGTAGGTCTTTCGCGCCATCCAGGCTGGAGTCTATGTGACCTGCCTTGTGTCTGACGAAACGTTACCGGTGGGTCCGTCACCATAGTCCCCTGGTCAAATGACCTGTTGGAAGTGCTTATGATGTTAACAAATTCGTGGAGTATGGCTAATTCTGATCTAGGGCAGTGAAAACCGTAAGGGAATTGTCTCGCTGTGGTCACCTTTCTTTTGCAGATAGTAGACAGTAACTGCGTTGTCGAAAAGGTGTAGAGTTTCCAGGACTCTGAGTAGTTGAGGAGTACGGCAGGTGAGGTATACACGAAGTCGCCCTGTCTGTTGTTTTTATTCTTCTTTCCATAGACCATCATGATACTGTGGCAATGAAGCAACAATTCAAACTAATGGTATGCTTGTTATTATTGTCTTGCCGAAGCAGGTGTTAGGACAAATGGAGCCATATCGGAGTAGGCCGGTAGGTCGTACTGATGCTTCGTCTTCAGGTGACCACAACCAGTTGTACTCAGTCCAGGGATACTACAGGGTCACCTATACCCGTGGATTACAACCATCGATCACCAGCCGGTGGAGTGATTCAAACGCGAAACGTTAATAAAAATCAGACGACCGCTCGCTCGCGTCTTGAAAGAGAA